GACAGAGTATATTTGTTTTTTGTTTAGATAATCTTCCACGACTGCTTCCTACTCTTTGGAAAAAATTCAAAATCCTTATCAGCACTGTACCCAGTGGAAGACCCTTGAGTCAGATTGTAGGAGTTCAAGTTCCAGGTCCACTACTCATCATTTACATGAGTTTGGTTAGATTTCGTGGCTTCTCTTGGATGGCAATGTGCTCATCTGTGAAATGGGATAATGAAGTAGAACTTCCTAGGACACAGACACAATTCATCCAAGCTCTTTGCCACTTTATGACAAGGATAGCCTTCCCTCTAGTTTTCCATACCTTGTTCCTTTTTATAATTTTGTTTTGTTTTTTGTTTTTGAGACAGAGTTGCTCTGTTCCCAGGCTAGAATGCCATTGCACTCTAGCTCACAGCAACCTCAAACTCCCGGGTTCAAGTGATCCTCCTGCTATAGCCGCCTGAGTAGCTGAGACTACAAGTGCACACTATAAGGATAGTTGGTCTGTACTATGAAATAACAGAAAATAATTATTCATAGTTTTTCAACAAGGCATAAAATTTCTTTGCCTGCTTTCTTTCTCTTACCGGTCCCCACCCCAACCCTTGTGGATTTCAGTCTATTGAGGAACCCAACAAATCAAAAGGAAATATAGATTCTCTTTACATTTCCCCCAGCTCCCTTGTCTTTTTGAATTGGTTTTTTTAAACCTCAAGTGATTCCTGAGTATCCCTGATAGATGAACAATCAGGCCTCAAGATCGGAAACACCTGGAAAATGTCTGTCTTGAAGAAAAATGGACACAGCATTCACATTCACACTGCCTTGTGAATTAAGCTGCAGTCACCTTCCTCCTCCCTTAAATTCAGTTCCCCACTGGACCCCAGGGCTGACATTCTTTCTTTCTTTCTTTGGGATGTCCCAACCGTTCTCTGTTCCTTTTCTCTCTCCCCTCAATCTGCCTTTTCTTCTCCCTGCTCTTTGCTTTTTCTCTCTCTCTTTCTCATCTCTCCTTCCCTTTCTCTAATATAAAATAAACTTATACTTTTATATTCTAATCTTGGCCTAGAGAAATACTTTTCTCATCCCACAAGCAGCACTTTTTTCCGACCTATCACACACCACAACGACTGGCTAATTTTTCTATTTTCTGTAGCGACCAGGTCTCACTCTTATGCAGGCTGATCTTGAACTCATGAGCTCAAATGATCGTCTCACCTCGGCCTTCTAGGGGGTCGGATTAGAGGCGTGAGTCTTGACATATTTATTCTGCTGCCTCTGCCACAAGATGAGTTCTGCCGGGTCAGGGAGCATTGTCTGTGTTGCTCACTCATGTGGCTGACGCACCTAGAACGGTGCTCAGCACAGAGTGGGTGCTTAATAAATCTGTGCGGACAACGGATATCTGCTAGGATATCTACTTTGCCCTATGCCCAAGTGTAAGACCTGGCAAATGGCAGATTTCCTGTAAAGTGCTGGGTAAATGAGTAAGTGGTTGAATGAATGAATGAATCAAAGCCTGACTGGGAAAATGCTAGGTATCTTCATGTATCCTGCAGGAGGAACATTTTTATTTATTTTTAGTTTTTTTGAGTTAGAGTCCCAAGCTCTGGAGCCCTGGATAGACAGAGCAAGTCTCAAAAACAAGAAACAAAAAATTTTAAAAAAGGAACAAGGTATGGAAAACTAGAGGGAAGGCTATCTTTGTCATAAAGTGGCAGAGCTTGGATGAATTGTGCCTGTGTCCTAGGGAATTCCAAAAGTCAGAAGTTAAGAGTGGTGAACTAGGCTCAGGGCCTGTGGCTCAAGTGGCTAAGGCGCCAGCCACATACACCTAAGGTGGCAGGTTCGAATTCAGCCTGGG